TAAAAAATACATTGTATACAAGACCCTATAGCAAAATTGTCACTCCAATGGGTAGGGCAGAATTAACATTATATTGTAAAAAGCAAGTCTCACCTTGTATTAATACACTACATGCTGATGATATTCCCATCTTGTAAATTCATTTTTTCTATATATTTATTAAAATACATTTATATTTCTTGTTTCTTATAAAAATACTCAATACATGTATAGTTTCAAATGCATGTACTATAAAAAAATTTAAAAATATAAATATTATTGCAAATAAATATTTTAAAAATAATAATATATAAACAAAGTGTATTATTTAAGAGAAATGATTGGAGGAGCTATGAAAAAATGGATTGTTAAAACACATTTGGTAGTTTAAAATACAATATACACTATCAAAATTTACAATACCCATTAGAGATGCTCTAAGTTAACGCAATAATTGATACAAAAACTAATATACGAGATCATTGCTCATGCATCAATTAACGTAAATACGTGATAACTTAGAATTTTAGGATATAAATAGTATTGAAAGACTAACTTGATTCATATTTTATATATATAGGAACTAGTTTAATTCAAACGAATTTACAAGAACCAAATTGAGTCATGAGTAAACTTTAGAGGGACCAGAATGATTATTAACTCTAAAAATTTTGGTCTTCATTATTAACCAAATACTTGGTCCGTCCCTGAGTGTTTGTCCACTTATGACTTTTGAAACTGTTTATCTAAACACTTTGACTCATCAAATTTTCTCAATGTGTAAACCTAAAAATAGTCATATGTGATCTTGTTTGATTCGTCTTAACATATAGATTATTAATATATAATTTTTATAATTTTTTAATATACAAATTATAAGATAAAATGGATTAACGAATTGCATTGGATGGTGCGAAAAAATGAAAGTGGACAAACACTCAGGGACGGAGGGAGTATGTTGCAAGTTTGTACAAAAAAAATAGGGAGTTATATGTTGCAGGTGGTAAGTGATAGCTAGTGTGAATGTGATACTGTATAACTGGAGTTTGTGTCTCTAAAACTTTAGAGAAACAATCTAATTAAGGTATGGAAAGAAAAACATCACATACCTAAAATATACTCGAATTTGAAATTTACCAAAAGTAGAAAATTCCCACATTTTACTATTTTCAACATGGGAAAAAAGATTTACTCCCTCTGTCTCTATAGATGGTCACATTTTGATTTTTTTGATCAAATTATGACAACCTCTGACCATAAACTAAATACATTTTAAAATAATTAAATATTATAAAATTTTGATATTTCAAAATTATATTTTAAAATAAATCTAATTTTACTAAACTTATATTATAATTAAGAATGTTTCTATAATGCACCTTGGTTGTGCCTTCTCACATAAACAAATCTTTTTTATTTTTTTATTAAAAAATACTCCCTCGGTTCTATAAAAGTATTCCTACTTTGAATTTGAGTAAAAATAAGGAAGTGTTAAATTGTAGTTGACTTCTAATTTTGCCCTTGATGTGATGGGTAAAAATAAGATATGATGGATTGAGTATTAGAGAAAAAGTATGATGTGATAGGTAGGGTATGAAAAGTAAGGGTAAAAGTGGCTTTTTAATAGAAAGTGGAAGTGTTTTGTTGAAGTAAAAAAAATGAAAGAGCAAGAATTTTTGAGAACGGAGGGAGTAGATGCTTATTTAGGTAGTAAGAAAATATTTATTTTGCTCATATGTAGGTCCATGATGAAACTTAGGTCTACCATAGAATTTTCTTATTATTAAATATACTTTTTCGAAACTTTGTGTTCAAGAGCGTAATAATTTGACTAAAAAGTCAAACTGTAACAATTTTTTAGAGACGCAGGAAGTACCCCACCCGTCCCTAAATTGATTACAATCTCTTCTGTCAATAACTTTTGTTTGTTTATGCGATTTCATTAAGTATATGATAAAATAAAATATTCTTGTCACATCTTGTTTTGTAGAACTTTTGACGTAGTTTTTTAATATGTAATTTTTTATATCATATTGATATACCAATTTGTAAACAAAATGATTTTAAAAAGTAGAAAATTTTACTCTGTAACCCGTATTTTATAATCAAATTGGGGACGGAGGGAGTAATATTTACTAGCTTGTCTTTAATTCGGATTACCTAGCCTCCAAGATCCCACCAAAGCTGCCTAGTGGTGGATCCCTCCACCTACAAGGTAAAGGAGTAAAATAAAATACCCCATCCGATCCGATCCTGTGGTAGTTTTTTTCTGATTTTGCCATCTTTAATAAAGAAGAATGTATTTATTTGAATGTAATTTGTATAGAGAAAAGGAAAACAATTAGGACGACATGATTTTACCGTTTTTTCAACCTATTTAGTTCTATGAAATACTGCCCAAACCCTACTTTTGTATGATTTTACTGTGTTGTTGATCTTGCAAAAATCTACTCCTTCCGTTCTAAAAAAAAGTTCCTATTTTAACAAAGTGTAAAAATAAAGAAGTGTTGGAAGTGGCAAAAAAAAGAGAAAGTGAGTATAATACGCATATTATACGTACGTAAGTATAATACGCGTATTAACTAATTAGGATTCTAAGTACTCCATCCCACAGGGAAATAGGTTGTCATACACTATTCATGTGGTCAAATATTATATACTTCCTCCGCCCCTAAATAAAGTTCCTCTTTCGTTTTTTCTTTGTCCCTAAATAAATTTCTCTTTTCTCTTAAAAAACCTCCTTTTACCCCTTACTTTTTCATACCCTACCTATCACATCATACCTTTTTACTAATAATCTACCTATCACATCTTACTTTAACACATCACATCAAGGGTATTTTTGGAAAGTCAACACCAAAATATTCATCCCTTAAATCCTCAAAAAGTCAAAAATGGAACTTTATTTAGGGACGGAGGGAGTATTTTTTTAATATCTATTTTTGTTACTCATTCGATAAAAAATATAGTCATGTCATCTTTTATTTTGTAGATTTTTTCATATACTCAGTAGTTTTTAAAGATGTAACTTTTTCTACCCCGATAATTTTACATTAAATTATCTTCATTCCATTTAAAATAACTTCAATCAAATATCGTAAAAAAGATTAAGAACCTATCTTTTGAATGGAGGAGTCATAATCAAGAAAATTTACGGTATGGTCTCTTACTATATACTGCCTTCGTCCCAATTTAAATTGTCTATTTATTATTCAATGGGTCAAACTAATTATTCACTTTCTTCATCTATTTTTGTTAGTCATTTGATAAAATAAAATAGTCATGTCACTACTAGATTCATAGATCTTTCGATGTAGTGTTTTAATATGTAACTTTTTTTAAATTTTACACCATTTTTCATATAAAATGATTTGAAAATAATTTCAGTCAAGCATCGTAAACCGAAGCAGACAATATAAATTAGAACGGAGTAAGTATATAGTTAAGTCACGAATTCGTTGACACTCGCCAACAGAAAATTGATGATTTTTACCCCCTAAACCCCCACCCTAGCCACACCCCTATCCCAGGCTCGTCCTAAGCCCTCTCCAAATGTGTGGCTATTATGTATTCGGATTAGAGGGGTATGGCGGGGTTGGGGGTAGGTGTGTGGTCAGGGTGGAAGGTTTAGAGGATTGTTAGGAGTATGAACTATCAATTTTCTGATTAAAGCATCGGAGATACTCCAAAAGTATAATGCACCGCCGATCGGACTTCCAAACAACCTCCATCAGATCTTCATTGTCTATTCGCCAATTGGACCTTCATCGTCAAATCTCCGATCGGGAATCCAACCAGCCCCATCGCGCATCCTCCTTCATGGCCTATTGATTCAGTCGTTCCTGCTACCGTTCCTCCTTTCGCCCCAATTTATTACGGTTCTTCATGTACAACAAGATGTACGATATAATTTGCGCTCAAATCTATTTAATTAGTCTTTCATATTCCAATGAAGTTTAAATTCATGAAAAGGCAATAAGGGCAAATTTGGAATATGTTAAAATGCATTTATCTTGTACCGCAAGCTCCATCTATAGAGAGAAAAGTCTTTATGGGTCCCACCTCATTTTTTCCATCTTTTTTTCAAGCAAACAAAACTAGAAAATTCTCTCTTTTACTTTCAATTTCATCCTTTTCTTTCAAGCAAACAAAACTAGAAAATTCTCTCTTTTCCTCTCAATTTCTTTCTTTTTTTGTCAAATTCTTTCTTGCCAAAATCCATAAAAATAAACTATCAACTAAGATTATACTGGGAAATCGGAATTACTTACTTTGTACTCTTTTTTTTAATCCTTTTTATTTATAACCGGGTTGGTTTTCATATATTAATATAAAAAAAAGGTACCCCCATTCCTCCCACTAGAAGAAAAATGTGAGAATAGTTAAATTAAACTATAATTTCAATCCAATTAGGAGAGTGAGGTTTGTCCTAATGTCCTTAACTCCTTAATACATGCAAAAACCCTACGTTTAACATGGTGATTTTTTGTCACTTTTGTCGGAACTCAATCCTGATTAACTCAATTAATTTGGCATTACTCTCTCCACAACCTGGAAAGATTTCCCTGGTAATGAAGGTGCCGGTGGATGTTGCGCAGCTGGGAAGGCAAGAACTGCCCATGAAGCAATTCCCGAGTTTAATTAGATTCCCCGTAACTGCACTGAGAGACAACCATACGAAACATAGAGTATCTGCAAATACCGATTGCAGACTCCACTCTTTGACACTCATTTGTGATTAAAACCTAAATTTACTTTACCCTCTCTCAGGTAATCGTCTGGCCGGTTCTGATCGAGAGACCCTCTCAAGTTCAATTTTTTTCTTATACCAATTGTATGATCATTAGTATAAAAAAAGGATGAGCCCCATTCCCGAGATCCCCCTCACTGATAGGAGGTAAATTGGATTTTGATCGCAGACTAGTGGCAAAAAGTGGAGCCTGCACCTGGTACTTACACATGCAGATCCTATTTTTACCATAATTACCTTCCAGCACAACTACCAGAAATTGAACTCGAGTCTTACCCACTTGAGATTCTTTGTCTTTGCCAACTCCGCAACACGATAATTGTATGATGATGATTATGTACATGTAGTGTTAGTTATGCCAAAGCAAAGCCTGGAGCAGTGTAGGTAGGTTATTTGTACGGCCAATCTCTCCCACTATTTCTGCTCTGTTGTTCCAATTCTCCGGCCTCCCTATAAATATTTCCTACCCCATCCATTGTCTTCTCCACTCTGACGAATTATCATTGTATCATCATTATAATATAACATAATATGGTCAAATCCAACAAGTTCAGAGGTGTCAGGCAACGCCACTGGGGCTCTTGGGTCTCCGAGATTCGCCACCCCCTCCTGTATACCCCCCCCCC